AATACCTCATATAGTACAACACAGCAATATATACCCACACTATCATATTAAAAAAAACTTTAAAAGTGATCTTAATAACATGGTGTCAATGAAAACATAAATAAAAGATACAATTACATTGCTGTCCTGTTCTTACATACAAAAACAAATCCAATAATGTTACAAAATGTTTAACCACTAGAGGACAGCCCGCAGTACATATACTGCTACAAGGCGAACCCTGTGTGCAGGATCACATATATAAATGTGATCCTGCATTTCTGGGTTGGGGGCGCGTGCCCATCCAACCTGCAGCATCAATCGCGTCCGCAGGTGTCAATCACCTGGTCCTGGCCGGTGATTACTCGCCGGAGCCCGGTGATTGCCGACAAACACTGATGGGGAGGAAGGCTGCATCTCCTCCCCATCTGTTTGAGCACACTGTTCTGGATTGCTGAGTACAGCCTTCCGGATCAGTATGTTACAGTGAAGCACACACACCCCCGCCCCCTAGTGAAACACTCCCCTCACACAGTTAACCCTTTGATTGCCTTCAAATAGTAACTCCATCCTCCCCAGTGCCATTAGTACAGTGTCAGTGGTTTTGTTTGCACAGATAACTGTATTGGTGTCACTGGGGATGTCAGTGTCCCCAAGTCAGTCCCCCCCCGTGTCAGAATGTCCGCCGCAGTCCCGCCATAAGTTGCTGATCACCGCCCTAAGTCGCTGATCGTAGTAGCATAAAAAAAAAATCCAGTATCTATACCACCATTTGTAAACGCTATAACTTTCAGGTAAACCAATTCATTTACAGGTATTGGGATTTTATTTTAGCAAAGACAGGTCACAGAATACATTTTGGCCTAAAATTATGACAAAATTTGATTTTTAAATTTTTTTACTGGACATGTTTTATAGCAAAAAGTCCAAAATATTGTTTTTTTTTTTCTCAAAATTGTCGGACTTTTTTTTATAGAGCAAAAAATAAAAAATGCACAGGTGATCAAATACCACCAAAAGAAAGCTCAATTTGTGGGGAAAAAAAGGACGTAAATCTCATTTTGGTGTAGCATTGCATGACCACGCAATTGTCAGTTAAAGTAACGCAGCGCCATAACACAAACCACTTCTGTAACAGCTTCCTGACCATCCTATAGCAGAAATATATACGTGATTCGCGCTCCCATGGTTTTCACGCCCCTCCCAGATAGCATCAGATTGCCCATCAGTACACCAGTAATCACATTTAACCCCTTGATTTCCAGGAACATGCTCATACACAATACACCTCCGTTGCTAGTATAGTGTCTGAACAGATCAATATCTTTGATCAGATCAGCACTATACCAGCGTTCACATTAGTATAGTGTCCCCAAAAATACAGCTTTTGCGGAATCAAACAGCACCTGCGTTTAGCCCCTTTGCTTACCCACCCCTTCTCCCCCAGCAACTGCAGTACTAGTAAGTCACTGTCACTTGATACGTTGCACACAAAACCACAGTGTTCACAGAATCAGGCCTGATCTCTGTTAGCACTTGCCGGTAAATTTTGATGACTCTCATATGCAGCAGAGTGCCAGTACTAGTGCCGCTCTTCCTTTTGGTGAACTGGTGAGCACCAGTGGCCTAGTACATCCTGGTCTTTCACATACCAGCACTGCAGTATCATTTGGTGATGTGGCGAGCTGGTGCGGTGGCTAGCACAAGTATTGTTCCGCAGTCACCAAGAATTCGCACACAGGCCCGTAGAGCCTCTAATATCCTTCCAGATGTGCTTGCAAATCCCGATTGGCAGCCCACAAATTCTGCAGCATCCGTACTTCCCCCATTCACTGCCCAACCCAAAATACAGGTGGAAACAACAAATTTAACTACTCCCCCTTGATTTTTTTAAGCTGTTTTTCATGTAAGATCTGTATGCATTGATTGTGGATCAAAGCTATTTATATGCACAACAATTTATCGCCGCCAACCCAAATTCAAACCTTGCCAGACCATTCGCATGGAAACTCATTACGGTTTCCAAATTTACATTTTTTTGGACCTTACCCTTAACATGAGCATTACTAAAAATGAATTGCAGTTGTATTGGTCCACAGACCGGATTCATCATATGCCTGTGTTCTATGCTGCCATGGCTAGGAATAGATATGAGAGTATAATGTGTTTTATGCATTTCAACAACAACACACTCTGTCGTCCTCGGGGTGACCCTGAATTTGACTGGCTCCACAAAATTCAGCTTTAAAAAAAATATATAATGTTTGGAGGTTTAAATTAATTTCCTAGCAAAAAATACAGATTTTTTTTCATGTGAACAAAAAGTGTCAGAAAAGGCTCGATGTTCAGGTGGTTAGAAGAGTGAGTGATGTGTGGCATAAATCTCTAATGCTGGGCATAAAATGCCCCCGCCCCCCAAAATGACCCCTTTTTTGACACAGAATTGTTACTTAAATTATTTATTGCTCACACATGCCATGGGTATATGTGGAATTACTCCCCAAAATATATTCTGCTACTTCTTCCGAGTATGGGGGTAGCACATGTGAGAGATGTTTTGGCAGTCTATCCAAGTACAGGACCCCAAAATCCAATAAGCACCTTCAGGTTTTTAAAGGGCTTTATTTACTCATTACACTTCCTGACTACCTATCACAGTTTCAGAGGCCCTGAAATGCCAGGATAGCACCAAACCGCCCCCAAATTACCCCTTTTTGGAAAGTAGATACCCCAAGGAATTTGATAAGAAGCAGGGTAAGTATTTTGCAGATCTAGTTTGTTGCCACAAGTTTTTGGAAAATGAAGAAAAAAACAAAAACATTTTTTCTTTTTTTATATTTCAAAACCTTGTGAGAAAAAATGAGATCTGCAAAATACTCCCCATGCCTCTTTTTAAATTCCTTGGGGTGTCTACTTTCCAAAAAGGGGTCATTTGCAGGGGGTTTGGTGCTATTCTGACGTTTCAGGTCCTTCGAAACTGTGATAGGTAGTGAGGAAATGAAATGAGGAAGTTACCCACCTTCAGGCTTTCAAAGTGGTCATTGGATTTCAAGCTCCTGTATGTGGCTAGGCTCCCAAAAAGTTTCACACATGTGGTATCTCCATACTTGGTAGAAGTAGTAGAATACATTTTGTGGTGTAATTCCACATAAAACCATGTCTTGTGCGAGAAATATATCAATGTGATGGGCAGTCAGATAGTAAAAGCTGTGTAAATTCCATTATCTATACCATAGTTTATAGATGCTATAACTTTCACACAAAGCAATCAATATACACTTATTGGGATATTTTTAACCAAAAACATGTAGCAGAATATATTTTGGACTTTTTTTATGACAGAAATGAGAAAATATTGTTTTATTAAAAAAAAAAAGTCTCAAATGTTTTCATTTATAGCACCAAAAATAAAAAGCTCACAGGTGATCAAATACCACCAAAAAAAGCTCTATTTGTGTGAAAAAAAGGACATAAATTTCATTTATGTACCGTATTTCATGACCACGCAATTGTCAGTTAAACTAGTGCAGCTCTGTATAGCAAAAAAATGGCGTAAATTGCAGTATCTATACCATAGTTTGTAGACGCTATAACTTTCACACAAAGGAATCAATACACACTTTTTTGGATTTTTTTTTACCACAAACATGTAGCAGAATACATTTTGGCCTAAATGTATAACTAACTTTGAGCTTACTATATATTTTTTATAGTCGAAAGTAAAAAATAGTTTTTCTTTAAAATTTTCGGTCTTTTTTTGTCTATAGCGCAAAAAATAAAAAAGCGCACAGGTGATCAAATACCAACGAAAGAAAGCTCTATTTGTGTGGAAAAAAAAGACGCAAATTTCGTTTGGCTACAGCATTGCATGACCGCACAATTATCAGTTGAATTAGTGCAGAGCTGAGTAGCAAAAAGAGGCCTGATCATTAAGGGGGGGTAAATCCTCTGGAGGGCAAGTGGTAAATAAATAAATGTAAACAGAAAGAAAGTGTCCGCTTCAATCTTTAATTGCTCCCTTCTGTGAAAAAATATCATGCATCTTGCAACAAAAAAAAACTTTCCACACTGTGATAAAAAGCCTCCTGTGCAGGGCCCTAGAACAATCTACAGCAGTGGTTCTCAACCTTTCTAGCGCCGCGACCCCTTAATACAGTTCCTCATGTTGTGGTGACCCCCAACCATAAAATTATTTTCGTTGCTACTTCATAACTGTAATTTTGCAGTAGGAGGAATAGTGCCACGTCATTGGTGTCATTGGGAGGAATAGAGCCCCATCATTGGTATCAGTGGGAGGAATAGTGCCCATCATTGGTGTCAGTGGGAGGAATAGTGCCCCCTTCATTGGTGTCAGTGGGAGGAATCGTGCCCCGTCATTGGTGTCAGTGGGAGGAATAGTGCCCCCTCATTGGTGTCAGTGGGAGGAATAGTGCTCCATCATCGGTGTCAGTGGGAGGAATAGTGCCCCATCATCGGTGTCAGTGGGAGGAATAGTGCCCCATCATCGGTGTCAGTGGGAGGAATAGTGCCTCATCATCGGTATCAGTGGGAGGAATAGTGTCCCATCATTGGTATCAGTGGGAGGAGGAATAGTGCCATATCATAGGTGTCAGTGGGAGGAGGAATAGTGCCCCATCATAGGTGTCAGTGGGAGGAGGAATAGTGCCCCATCATTGGTGTCAGTGGGGGGAGGAATAGTGCTCCATCATTGGTGTCAGTGGGGGGAATAGTGCCCCATCATAGGTGTCAGTGGGAGGAATAGTGCCTCATCATTGGTATCAGTGGGAGGAATAGTGCTCCATCATTGGTATCAGTGGGAGGAATAGTGCCCCATCATTGGTGTCAGTGGGAGGAATAGTGCCCCGTCATTGGTATCAGTGGGAGGAGGAATAGTGCCCCGTCATTGGTATCAGTGGGAGGAATAGTGCCTCGTCATCGGTATCAGTGTGAGGAATAGTGCCCCTTCATCGGTATCAGTGGGAGGAATAGTGCCCCATCATCGGTGTCAGTGGGAGGAATAGTGCCCCATCATCGGTGTCAGTGGGAGGAATAGTGCCTCATCATTGGTATCAGTGGGAGGAATAGTGCCCCATCATTGGTATCAGTGGGAGGAATTGTGCCCCATCATTGCTGTCAGTGGGAGGAATAGTGCCCCATCATTGGTGTCAGTGGGAGGAGGAATAGTGCCCCATCATTGGTGTCAGTGGGGGGAGGAATAGTGCCCCATCATAGGTGTCAGTGGGGGGAATAGTGCCCCATCATTGGTGTCAGTGGGGGGAATAGTGCCCCATCATAGGTGTCAGTGGGGGGAATAGTGCCCCATCATAGGTGTCAGTGGGGGGAGGAATAGTGCCCCATCCTTGGTGTCAGTGGGGGGAGGAATAGTGCCCCATCCTTGGTGTCAGTGGGGGGAGGAATAGTGCCCCATCCTTGGTGTCAGTGGGGGGAGGAATCGTGCCCCATCCTTGGTGTCAGTGGGGGAGGAATAGTGCCCCATCGTTGGTGTCATTTGGGGGAGGAACAGTGCCCCATCGTTGGTGTCAGTGGGAGGAATAGTGCCCCATCATTGGTGTCAGTGGGAGGAATAGTGTCCCATCGTTGGTGTCAGTGGGAGGAATAGTGCCCCATCATTGGTATTAGTGACACCAATGATGGGGCACTATTCCCACTGACACCAATGATACTTACCTTGCAGACCCCTGTTCCAGCCTGGGCTCGCTCCCTCCCTCCCTCTCCCATGGTACCGACACTTACCTGTCAGATGTCTTCCTTCTCCGGCCGCTCTCCTCTTCTTCACTCGCTCGATCTTCGCGGTGCCGCTCGGCTCCTCCTCTCCAAGCTCCACCTCCTTGCCGGTGATTGGCCGCCCGTGTGCCTCTCCTGAGCTACAGTGCCGGCTGCCAATCACAGACGAGGATTGATCTCGAGGTGTGTCCAGATGACAGGGGCGGCATGTCATCCCGCCCACACCTGGAGACGGCGGTGGCGGCGGCGGCGGCGAGGAGCGGTGTCTCGGTTCCTAAGACCATCGGAAATATGTGTTTTCCGATGGTCTTAGGCGACCCTGTGGAAGCGTCGTTCGACCCCCAGGTTGAGAACCGCTGATCTACAGGGATCCCTTTCACCACAAAGATCAGATCCGCACTCCCCAGTCTAAGGCCTCATGTACATATGAACTCCTTAAACGTTTAGCTCTTCTGGCAGCGGAAAAACACTAACTGCAGCAATAAAAAAAGCATGTAAACGCAGTGCTGCATTTAGCGCTTGGACGTTTATTCATTTGATTGGCCAGAGTATTTTCCATTGACTTGTATAAATGCCTCAGTGCTAAACACGAATAGTGTTTAGATGCTTTTACACGCGTTTTTTCCTCGTTTAGCCTTTTTTGGCCAAATCGTTCCTCTCCTGAACATGATTCTTCTGTGTTCAGGAGAGGAATGTTTAACTGTCCCTAAACTCTGCTGCTCCTAAACTCTGGTAAAAGCCTATGTGTACATGGACAAAGCATTCTGTTATAGCAATAGTGTCAGGGTCCTGTCCACGGCAGAAGTTCTGAAAGATCTGGCATTTCTGCAAGTACTCTACATGGCCGCAGAGGTACACATCAGCCTCAGTCTGGTGCCAGATGGCCTTTATAAGGAGGCTCATCACTTCCACTGGTTGCTGGATGATCTCTAGCTCCCCATGCCCTGTTCCTGTTTCCTGTGATTCTGACTTGTGATTTCTTGTTACCGACTCGGCTTGCTCCTGGACCTGTCTACTCTGATTTACCCCTGATCTGACCTCGGCTTGGCTTACGGATATTCTCTCCTCTGTGAATGACCTCGGCTTTCCCATCTGTCTACGTCCGCTCTGATTCCCACCTGGTACCTTGGCTTGAACCAACTACCCAGTAAACATCCAAATCCCAGAAGGGCTTGCATACCACGCACAGGCGCCTCCTGTCTGCAGACCTATCTCCGTGCACCAGCTGTGCTTCTGAGTGGACCACCAACCAGCACTCCTACAGGTGACCTGTGCCACTTTGGGCCTGACTCCCGCTGTCCCACTCTCAGGGGAGTCCGGAACTTAGCCGCAAGGGAATCCCTCTCTCCATTGGCCTCCATCACCAGGTACGTGATAGTATCATCCAACCAGTATGTCTGAGGCTGAGAGAGGCGCTTCCGCACTAGAGGCCCTGTGCCAACAGATGACGGCACTTACCCAAGCAGTGAATGATTTACAGCAAGGATACTTTCAGCTAGAAGGGTGAGACTCCCTCTCTACTTCCGCGGACCAGGATCCCTCCGCCAGTTCCAACCCAGTAGCCGCACCTGCCAGTCAGTCTCCTGCCACCACTCCTGCTATCATGTTACAACCTCTGGAACCCAGGGTTCCTACTCAAGAATGTGAATTATATCTTGCTCTGCAACCCAGGACCTTTTCTCTGGAAGCAGTCAAGGTCGGGTTTATCATCTCCCTCTTGTCTGAAGATCAGATCCCCCATGTTTCCAGCCATCCTAGGAATACCCTGGTTGCAAGCCCACAACCCACAGATCAATTGGCCCAATTTCTTCAGAATATTGTCTACAACACTGTGGTGCCCCTACACCCACCAATTCTTCCGTATTTCTCTCAGTCCAACCTTTACCAGAGGCCAGTCAACTAGTTCCCTCTACCTACCATGACTTCCTCGATGTGTTTGATAAAAAGAAGGCCGACACATTGCATTCTCATCGGTCTTACGATTGCCCAATTGAGTTACTCCCAGGAGCAGAAATACCATTTGGGCGAATTTTCCCATTATCCAAACTTGAACTGGAAGCCCTCCGGCACTATCTAGATGAGAATCTCGATTCGACCCTCTTTCTCTCCTGCCGGGGCTGGTATTTTCTTTGTAGAATAACATGATCGGTCTCTTAGACCGTGCATTGACTACAGAGAACTTAATAAAATTACCATCAAACACCAGTATCCTCTTCCTCTGGTGCTCGAGTTATTTCAGAGATTTCGAACAGCCAGAGTGTTCACTAAATTGGACTTACCGGGGCCTACAATTTAGTCCGTATAAGAGAGGGCGATGAGTGGAAGACCGCCTTCAGAACACGCTTCGGACATTTTGAATATTTATTGATGCCGCTTGGGCTATGTAATGCCCCTGCTATGTTCCAACATTTTGGGAATGACATCTTTAGAGAATACCTAGACCTTTTTCTGATCGTCTACCTGGACGATATCCTAATTTTCTCTACCTCACTGGAACTCCATCGTGATCACATTAGGAAAGTGCTAAACACTCTAAGGATGCCTGGCTTGTACGCCAAGGTGGAGTATTGTGAGTTTGAGAAGCAGTCCATTCAGTTCCTGGGGCTCATAATTTCCATGGACCCTCAGAAAGTATCTGCTATCCTTGATTGGCATGCACCTTCAGACAGGAAAGGGGTCCAAAGATTTGTGGGTTTCACCAACTTTTATCGGAAATTTATTAAGGGCTTTTCCACAATCATTGCCCCTATTACTCAACCCACCCGCCAGCATGCACGATTCTGCTGGAGCCAGGAAGCTCAAAAAGCGTTCGAACAATTAAAAGATCAATTCACCTCCGCTCCTGTGTTACAGCATCCAGATCCAACACGCCCCTTCATCCTGGAGGTAGACACATCTGAAGTTGCTACAGGAGCTATACTCTCCCAGCGCCAGGGCCCAAAGGCTCTGCTTCACCCAATAGCCTTTTGTTCTAGAAAACTGAGCGAAGCCGAGAGGAACTACGATGTGGAAGATAGGGAAATTTTAGCGATTAAAATAGCCTTCGAAGAATGGAGGTATCTCTTGGAAGCAGCCAGCCACCCAATTATGATTTTCACAGATCATAAAAATCTGGAGTATTTAAGGTCTGCCAAGCGCCTAAGCCACCTTGACAGGCTAGATGGGCTTTATACTTCTCAAGGTTTAACTTCCACAAAACCTACCCAAGAACGGGAAGGCAGATGCCCTTTCCCGCATGTTCCCGGACCCAGAGGAGCCTTCTCCCCCCAACACCATTTTGTCAGCCCAAAATTATTTGTTGATCCAACCCAGCCTAAAGTCTTTGATCAAGCAAGCCTCTGCACTATGCCCTGTGTTAGAAATCAAATTTATGATTCGGCACTTATATTGATGGCAAGCTTGCAAAATATTTGGTTTTTATGATTAATCATAATTAATATTAATATGTGTGAATGGTCTTTTGACAAATGGTAGTATTACAATTCTTCAAATATAAGCTGAGACAGTAAATATGAATGAGTTAACTGAGACCAGCTAAACCAGCTGAAGACTATATTTAGACATAGCTGGTTAAAGGTCTCTGGTAGTAATATGTCAAGGGTACTAGAAGTGACTCATTATAGACTTACTATTACATAATGTATTTTAATAGTATCTGTGTGTTTTTAGTATACGTTTCTAATATTGATACATATATAGATTAGTGATTATACATTGATATGTTGTTAAGATATGTTCTTAAGTTATATTGTCATTTAAATATGAATAGCTGAGGTTACATCATTAGCTTATAGTATTATGTACATCAGCATCTGTACCTGTCCATCAAACATCACATATATAGCGTCCATTCTCTTCTATGAAATTGCTTTGCTAAGCAGTAATAATTTCCATAAAAGGTATTAAGATCACTAGGTATGACGCTTGTTCCTATATAAAAGGTCCATAAGGGACAGAGGAGACACTCACACACTAACACTGACACTTTGACGCACACACACGTATGAGAAGCTGGAACAGGTGCTTACTGAAGACAAGATCATCACTTCCGTCTATTTCCGGTTTCTTCCCTAAGTCTCGTGAAGGACAAGAAGAAGATGGACGTTGCACATGGTCAGACAGTTATGACAATAGTGACTTTTTCTTTAAACTTCTGCTTGATATTTCTACAGTAGTTTTATCTACATGGAACTGTTCATGATACACTTTACATTGTTATTTTAAGCCATTGTGTGATAGAATAAAATCACACTTTATTTTTTATTTCAATGGCTCTTTCATTCATAATCGCCTCAAGACAATAAAAGAAGTATTATATGTGTCTAAAATCCAACACCCTGAACCTGAACAAAATTTGCTTAGAAGGCAGGATGGTCTTCTGTGGCACAAGGAAAAAATCTTTGTACCCCAAGAAGTGAGGTCTCAAGTGTTAAGGGCTTTTCATGACCATCAACTGGCTGGACACTTTGGAACCCATAAGATAATGGAACTAATCCAGCGATCCTTCTGGTGGCCCAAACTGAATCATGATTGTAGAGCTTATGTGAAGTCGCGCACAGTGTGTCTGCGGAACAAGGGAGACAAAGCCAAGGCCTGGGGGTTGCTGAAGCCCCTGCCCATTCCTGATCATCCCTGGGAGATGGTCGCAATGGACTTCATTGTGGATTTGCTTCCCTCGGAGGGGTTTACTACCATTCTGGTAGTAGTGGATGGCCCACTTTTTACCAATGTTGGGTACGCCATC